TTGATTGATGCTGCTCCAGTAAACAGCCTTCCTTCTCCAGGGAAGGTGCGTCTTCATCAGCCGGACTCCCTGGGTTCAGGTGTTCCATGCAGGGCATATGTTTTCTTGTGTGTGGCCAGTGGGAGATAATCCATGAGATGGCACATTCATGGGTAATGCACGGAACCCATGTCTCTGTGTGTAGTCCAAGTTCCTAAAAAAAAGCTAAAAAAACCCTCTAGGTGGGCTGCTACTACACGACTGAGACCTCAGATAGTGCAATCAAACCTCAGTCTCTCGGAGCTGCTGCGGTGCACGGGCTGGGTCACCAGGTCTCTGTGCCTCTGCTGTGTCACTGTGAAGGGGCGCTTAAAAACACCCCAAAACTTTCCACTCTGTTTGGGAAATGACACTGTCATGCTGGAATTTACAGTGAAGTTGTGAATGCTGCTGAAGCCTGGGGCTTCTCCAGGAGAAGGCCCCTTTGGCCAGCTATATTCAGCTCTAATGAGAGGGCTGAATTCTCCCTCAAAGCCATGTTTTCCATTTGGCCCCTTTTCCCTCATCAATCGCTGTCACTTCAGACAGAGGCCCCGCATGCAGCTTCCCTTGGGCCTGTGTGCTGTGTGGGGGCCGCTGGGGAGGACAGCCTGCCCTACTAAACTGCATCTCTGAGCCCTGAACAATAGCGCTTTGTGTGAGTGCACAGTGCAGGCTCAGTTTCCCAGGCTTTTCCTTTTCTCCTCTCCCCTCTCCCGCTGGAAGCCCCCAGCGAGGCGGGAGCGGGCAGGGGCTGCTGCCACCAAACAAAGGGCGCAGGCGGCCCCTCCACCCGCGCCTGGCTCCAGCTGCAGGTACTGCATCATTTGCCTCCAGTACAACAGACCCGAGTCATTTCAGCAAAAATGCCAACCAGGGTGCAAGGAGGGCTCCAGCCTCCACAGGCAGGCAGGGCCCTCACTGCGGCCCTGGGGACACCACGATGGCACCTGGGGTGGCTTTGGTGAGGGATGTGCTGTGGTGCCCATGCTGTCTGCTCTGGTGACCTGTGGTGCCCATGCCATTTGCTCTGGTGACCTGCTGTGTGCCAGGTGCCCCAGTCACCTGACAGCTTGCTGCCAGAAGCCTCCCTGGCCGCAGGTAGTGCCAGGACAGATGGAGATGCTGGAGTGAGGAAGAACGGGGTGAAGTTTAAAAAAATCAAACTAGGCCAAATCTCTAGGTCAGTGGTGCTTGTTTACAGGGGCAGGACTGCAGGGACACCCAGCCCACACACAAGGGGATGCTCCTTTGCATCAACAGACAGGAGAGTACCCCAAAAAGGAGCAGGAATTCTAACTCCACTTACAGACATGGAAACAGGGATGTGGCCAAGATCTCAGTGTCCCAGATCAGCCCCCATTCTTGTCCCAGTGGGCCCCATGCCCACCCACATGCTCCTCCTGCCCTTTGCTGCTGCCAAGCGGAGCAGAGTGCTGCTGGGAACACTGGGCAGGAACGGAGGGATGTCCCTCAGTTCCCTGCATTGCTGCCAAATTCAGTCAAGCACCATGTCAGGTGGACTGCTGTGACATGCAGGGACCCTGTTTGGGTGCAGGGATGTTCAGGACCATCATGGCCAGGCTGGGGGTGCTACTCCCACTGGGCGGTGAAGGGGCCCTTTCATAGGGCAGACAGGGAAAGCTACCATGGCTGCCCTCCAACCTGCTCCTGCACTTAGGAGTTCTGGATCCCAAAGTGCCTAAAAATGCCGTTAGTGGGTTTCACATTCCAGATGGAGAAATGGAGATCATGTGTGACTAAATTGGGAACAGTAAACAGCAGGGACCCAAGTGTCAGAAAACACTGACAGCCCAACAGCCACCAATGTGGGAGCTCTCCCTTGGCTTCAGTGTGACCCATTGCCCATGGCTTCGCTCTGCCCTGTGCAGTGGCCCTGAGGCTGCTGGTGTCACTACCCTGGAGCTGCTGCCTTCTGCTGTCCCATGCAGCTACTGTGAGCTGTTGTGCCGTCAGCATCGTCTGGAAAGGCAATGGTAGGGAAAACTGTCTCTTATTTATAGCTGCATTGTCACAGGCAGTGCTGATCTGCAGGATGCAGAGCCCCCGGTGATGGAAATGGATCGAGGAATAGGAGCATCTTGCATGTGATAAAAACAGGCTCAGTCCTACAGAAGAACATTGCCACCATATGACCTGCAGGGAGGAGCAGAAAACACCGCTGTGTGTGTGACGTGTAATACCTGCAGGCTCTGGCCTTGTGTCCAGAGTCACTGACACTGTGGGATGCCATTGACTGGTCAGAAACAGTAATTCAGGGAGGATAAAGAGATGTTGTTAAAAGAGCAGCAAGCTCCTCCTCTTGTGCAAGTTCTTTTTTGGTCTGTTGCTACAGCAACTCTCTACCAAGAACAAAGATGACAGCAAGATATTAAATTTTGCAGCAACTCAATTGACTCCTGATTTCCCTTCTTTTTTGCCTTCAGTAACTGAATCCTGCTGCATTAATTGTCTTAGATTTCAGATGGAAATCGTGCCTTCCTTTGACAAGAATTCCTGTGTTGCTCTTTCCTCCTTCCCCTCAGAAACCAATTAAATCAAATTAACTTATTTAAATCCAGTGGGTGATTATAAACACTGGATTTCTTGGCTTTATTTCTTCTGCATGTGGACATCATATGTTTTAAGCCACGACTCATATTCTGTACCAAAATCCCCAAAGCCTTGATATTCTTTAAAAAGAAACAAACAGTTCTTGGCAAGTACGATTTCGGCAAAGTTCAACGTATGCCGGTGGCACAGCACAGAAACATAAAATCTGAGTAACTGGAACAGAGATCGTCTGGATTTAGGAATGTTAAAATTGGTTTTAAAGCACTGCTGCATTTCAGTTCTTTCCCCCTATACTCCCCAGTCTATGTTTCTTGTGGAGCAGACCCTAAGGAGGCCACAGACCTGCATCTCTGGGATCACGTCTGCACACGCAGACGCCCTGGGTTCGGTGGGACAGAGCCTGACATGGACCCGCCTCAGTGTGGGGACTGTCACCTTCAGAGCCCTGGCCCTTGGCTCCCGAGGTCCAGAGCTCCTGCGTGGGGAGGGTCACAGCCCCGAGCCTTTGGAGCAAGTGCTCTGTCACTGTGTCCGACTGTCACCTGTGTGTGCCTCGTGCGACAAGGCTGCTCCGGAAGGGCTAACGGGGACAGCGCTGTGGGGAACGGGGTGAGGGGAAGAGAGGCCACTTGAGTTTGTCTGAGACGACACAAAACATGGACCGCTACTAGCACTGGGATGGACTCCTGGCAGCAGGTAACCACGGGAGAACAGCATCATCCCACATGAGCAAAGCATGGATCAAGTCACAGCCAGACTGCAAATGCAACTGCACCAAATGACAGGGGTTTGAACCCTGGAGAGAGCTGTGCTGTGCTGTGAAAGATGAGACAGTGGGACCATGCTGGGTGGTGGAGCTGCGGCTCCTGGGAGTGCGGTGTGGGGAATCCTCACCCCTGAGGAGAAGAGAATAGGGGAAAATGGGAGAAAATAGAGGCAGAGGCAACGACATTTGGAGAAAGGGATGTGACTGACACACATGAAATATCACATATTTAGCTTTACTCTGAATTAGTGGGAGTATAACTAACGGTCTGGCTTTGGCAGCTTCAGCTTCAGCAAGGTGTGTGCAGGAGGGACAGGCTCAAGAAGAGTCTGAGCCAACGTGGGTTTAGTACAAGATCAAAGCCAAGGCAGGAGCCCAACAGAGTTAACCAGAAGCATGGGTCCTGTCACTTTTCCCCAAGAGTTGTTGTGCAAAAGCACTTCTTTGGGGGCTTTAGTCCAGGGCAAAGGACTCCAACCCATCCTGTGGGCAGGACTTAAACAGCTGCTTGGATTTCAGATGCACACTTTGGATATTAACACAAAAATGCCAGCATTATGGAGGGGATGTCCTTCCTAAAGAGCCTGGGTGTGGGCACAGGGTGCCTGTTTCCCAGAGCAGTGGCTGAGCAGGCACCAGCAGAAGCTGCTGGTCACAGCAGGAAAAAGAAAGCACAGCTTTGCCCACAGGGTCTGGGCAACCTCCCCGAGGAAACAGAGGTAACAGATCTCTAGCAGGAAACTGCTCACAAGAGCCCTTTCACCACTGATAACGTCTGTGGTGCAACTGTGGCCTCATGCAGTGACAGCAGGTTCTGAGTAGCTTCTGACTCCAGTGTCTTTTACAGGAGAATTAGAGCTGCAGGGAATTATTGCTGTTGCCAAGTTGTTGATCATAATTCCTTGTGCTTTTAGTCACAAATAAGTATTCCCATTTCTTACAGTGACTTGAATTATTGACCAGTGTAATGCTGAATTCTACTGGTATGACAAAGGCTTAAAATGGTAACAGTGGAAAAGGCAGAGATTGAGGTGGGCACATATTTAGAGTGCTCTGCTTCTTCTCTGAATATTCATGGCTGCAAGGACCCTACACTCATACTTTTGGGAGATACCCTTCTATTTACAACTGAGCTGTTGGAAACCCATATAAAGTAAAAATAAAAAGCAAACTTCTGGGATGCTTTACCTGAAAAGAAACATGTGTCTGCATACAGAAATCAAGACTTGTCTTTGGCAGCAGTTATTTTGGGTGCAAAGGCAGGTCAGTGCCAAGTTATGATGGCACTTCACTACACAGATAAAAAAGGGAACAGAGGGAGAACTAGTTGTTTTGTTAATATGACAAGATAACAGCACTTTGCTGCAGGAAAGGATGTAAGGTTCAAAAAAAACCAAAGATGATGTGGTGCTGCACAAACAATTTCTATGTTACATGTCTTCAACCATTTTTTTTTTACACTGGGAAATGTGTGTATGGAAGTCTTTCCCTAGCAGTCTGGCTGTATTAGAGCTGTGCCATTCCTGCAGAGCAGCCAGCCAGCAGGGCTGGGCTCACAGAGATTTTATTCCCCAGATGACCCTGCTACAGCTGAGCACTTTCTGTGTTGGCACTTTCTCCCACTCTGGCTGGTTTGCTGCAGGTCCCACGAGCCCAAGGCAGAGCCCACATCTCCTGGCGACCCCCAAGTCTGGACTGGAAGAGTTGGTCTCACCAAGTAGGGATCTACAGCAGCTTCCCAGAGAGGCTGCAAAGGATTCAGCAATGTCAAGGTTGTCCCCATTCCCCAACTCCATCAACCCAAGGTATGGCACAGGGGATTCTGCCTTTCAGAGACCTCAGGAAGGCAGAAAGACCAAGGAGAATTGGGGTCATGTCACATGAGCTGCCTTACTCTCTGGGCTGGGTAACTGGTGCCAGTGCTGCAGCCGTGGCACTGGCATGAGGTTGTGAAGGGTTTCAACACACAGCTCAGTGTCCATATCAGCTGTGGCTTGGTGAGGCCTGCAGCCTGGCTCCAGCCTGGCTCCAGCCTTCCCTTGCAAAGCTCCACTGGTCTGAGAGGGGATATGATGGCTATCCCATCCCTGGGAGTGTCCAAGGCCAAGTTGGACGGGGCTTGGAGCAACCTGGTCTAGTAGAAGGTGTCCCTGCCCATGGCAGGGGGTTGGAATGAGGTGACCTTCAAGGTCCCTTCCAACCCAAACCAGTCTGTGAATCCATGACCAGAGGGTCTGCCTGACTCATGGCAATGTACACAAGTGACTCTCTGGAAGCAGCATTCGTGTACCCTGCTGAGGCTGCTGTGTGTATGTTCAGCACATCATGAAACACAGTCTGAAGCTGGAAACAAAGAGTGCAAGACAGCTTCTGCCTAAAGAATTTTCCTTAATTTAGGAATTGCTTTAAGCCAACATTACCTCTGCTTCCTGAGCACACACAAGGCTACTGCCCTGGAAATAATCTGGATTAGCCTTACTGGAGTGACCACGTTGCCATAGTTACTGTTGGTTTCTCTATACCTCAAGCTTGAAGTGTTTATTATGATTAAATCCCATCCCATCCCATTCTTCATTTAAAAATTCTGTGTTGGAAGTGTCACAAAGTGAATTAGAATGTAATCCTTCCTTTTAAGAAGCTGTTTTAAGTTGAAATTCCACAAATGATCCTAGATGTTGGTATTTATTAAAAATCATTAATTTGTGATTGGATTATTTTTCTTCAGCCATCGCTGCTTCTTTATTCTTCCTGGTATGTGAGTGACAAAAAAACCCTGACGCTGCTGGATCATTTCATGACTGTTTGAGTTTTTTCTTTCACCACTGTATTGTGGACCACCCTGGTAAAAGATGTGCAACACTCTTAGACTCTTGGCTTTGACCTTAGAGGGGGCCTCATACATTTGAACCAATCTGGCAAGAAATTAAAATCTGTCCCGTGGCACAGGTTGTTTTAGGAAATGTTGGTCTTTGCTCTCCAAATCCCTGTGGGTGTTACAAGGTGAAGTGACTGCCGCTGGAATGAATCCATTATAAAATGGCCCATGCTTCTCTTTTCCTGTTTGTTTGGGGTTTTTTTTGTGGAGAGCAAGCTCTGAACTGTAAGGTCTTCTCAGAGTAGTACTGGCTTTGAAGGAACATGACATCATGTTCCTGTTCTGTAAAAAATGTGTGTTATTTTTCTCTTTTCCTTTACCACATCTGTTAACAGCTTAATAGAGCTCTGATCTCTCTTCCATTTCCCCATGTCAACTGTTATGTTGCCCACCATCAAAAATTCCTCACCCAACCTAAGCAATATTTAGGAGATAAGTTCATCTCCCAGCTACCTCCCTGCACACAGCATTTTGGCTTGTTCTTGTCTGCCTTCTGCATCATCCATCTAACCAATAACGAGCTGTACTGCCAGCAGGCTCTGTCACCCCATCCTGCCGTTCTCAGTGCCGTGAAACTGCCCAGACCAAGGTAAATTGTGTTTCAAAGATGTTTTGACACAAAATCTTTAGCGTATTGGTGAGTGACACAACTCAAAGCAGTGAGAGCGGACGGCCAGCCTGCTGGCCTGCCCTGCTGAGGGTTTACACAGCTTTGGGCACAGAGTGGGCACAGCTTCCTGGCTTCCCCATCCCAGATCAATGGCTTTTCCTCCATTGCTCCTTTCCATTATCTCAGTTCAGCAATTGCTGTTTGTGCCCCCAGACCTCTCAGCTCTCTCAGCTGACATGTCAACACTCCTTCATTGATGTCCTTGCCAAGACCAGGGAAGCAGCTCCTGCGCCCAGGTCCCTCTTGCACCCTTCCAGCTCACCCCAGGATTGCTCATGGCCTCTTTCTGTCCCCATTTCTCTCCTCCTGCCTCTTTTGTGCTGGCTGCACCCAGCCCTCCGCTGTCAGGTCTTCTATTCTTGTTCAGCCTCCCCACTTGTTCAGCCTCGTTCCCCTGTGTCTGGCTGTCAGACTGGGGGTTCACAGAGCCCCACTGCTCCCCCGGGTGTGCCCAGGCTGCCCTGCTCCCCCCAGCTCTCTCCTCCACTTCTGCAGCTGCCAGGTCAGGAGCCTGACAGCTCTGTGGGTTGGCACACCAGCACAAGGAGAATCCCACAGGACAGCTCCACTGGATTGCTGTTGTGTGTCCGTGTCACTTCCGGCCCTGCCAGCTGCCAGCCTTGCCTGTTCACCCCCAGAGGGGTTTGTCCCCTAAATGCTGGAGCATCGTGTTTTCCTATGTCCCCCACGGTGCACAACTGGCCATAGGGACCAGCATGCGCTCTCCAGCTGCTTCTGCCCCTCCACAAAACTCTGCCCCATGCTCATGGCCATTGTCACTGTGCCCTCCCTGCCCTGTGGTCCCTGTGCTCTGCTTCTCCCTGTGACAGTGGGGGTCTGGCACAGCTCGTGCCCTCCCTGGGGCCCTCCCGGAGCAGGAGTGACCCTGCTCAGCCCTGACCCCTGGCCTCGTGCTCCGCAGTGGCTGTGCTTCCTTGGAAGTGATTGCTTTGTCTCCCTCCTCCCCGGGCCTTTCCCGGCCGCTGGGATGCAGAATGCTCCTCTGTGCCGCCTGCTGCACTAGGTAAATTATTTGTGTAATGGGCTGGTGTTATTTTTTGTAAGCTGGCAGAGTAACTGTGAATCATCAAATCTCCCTGAATTCAGTCCTCACAGGACACCCACAAAAGGACCTATTGTGCAGAGCAGCGGTGGGAGTGTGGCTGGAACTGGACAGAGGAGCCACTCAGTGGATTGTGGATCTGCAGAAGCCGAGTCTGCAGCATGGCTGGTGTATGGGCTCGGATGAGCCATTGGAAACGCTGCTGGCGAGTGTGTGGGGTTTCATGGCACCGGGTCCCAACTGCTCAGCCAAGGCCCCTGGAAAAGAGCCTTAAGCACTGTTGCTGCTTCTGCTGGAACGAACGCTTTATCCTTTTTTTCCTCATTTTAACAAAAGGTGACAAATCTGCCCCAGTGCAGTCCCGCTGGCCCGGCGGCGTCCGGATGGGGCCGGAGCCTTGGGCTGAGGAGGGGCTGCTCCGGGAGCGGGGACACGCGGGGACAGCGACAGACGCCGCCCGCGGGGTGGGAACCGGGGCGATCGGCACGCACCGGTACCGGGGGGGCCGCTCGGCGGGGTCCGGCCGGGGCCGGGGCCGGGGGTCCGGGGTCGGGGTCCGGCCGCGCTCGCAGCCCGGCGGGGCGGGGCCGAGCCCGGCGGGGCCGGGGCGGGGCCGGGGCCCGGGGACGCCCCGCCCCGCGCGCAACCTGAGCGCGGGAGCGGCGCCAGGGCCCCGCCTCGGCCGGCGGCGGGAGCGGCTGCGCTCGGCTCAGCCCTGCCCGGCTCGGCTCGGCTCGGCTCGGCTCGGCTCGGCTCGGCTCGGCTCGGCTCGGCTCGGCTCGGCTCGGCTCAGCCCTGCCCGGCTCAGCTCAGCTCAGCCCTGCCCGGCTCGGCTCGGCTCGGCTCGGCTCGGCTCGGCTCGGCTCAGCCCTGCCCGGCTCAGCTCAGCTCAGCCCTGCCCGGCGCTGCTCGGCTCAGTCGGCTCCGCCGGCTCCGCTCCGCTCCCGGCTCCGCCGCGCTCCCCGCGGTGCGGGCGGTGCGCGGTGTCCCCGGCGCCGCCAATGACGGTGGGCGCGGGCGGCGGCGGGGCCGCGGCCGGGTGAGGCGGCGGTGGAGCGCGGCGGGCGGCGGTCCCGGCGGGACCCGCGCCCTCCCGCACGATGTCGGCGCAGGGCAAGTTCAAGAAGGACAAAGAGATCATCGCCGACTACGAGGCGCAGGTCAAAGGTGCGTAGCGGGGCCGGTGCGGGGCGCGGCGGGGCCGCCTTTGTGTGCGGGGCGGGGCCGGGACGGGCCGGCTCCGGCCGCGGGGGCTGTGCCGCCGACCCCCGCCCCTCCCGCGCTGCGGCACCGCCGGCCGCGGGAGCCCCGGCCCTGCCTGCCGGGCGCGGGGGGCGGCGGTGCCATCGCCGTGCGGGCACTTGGCGTGCGGGGATGGGCAGCGACGGTTCAGCCCCCGAAGCCGCGCTGGCCGGGGCCGCCCTGCGCGGGGAGCGTCGGGGCAGCGTCCCGCGCCCACCCGGGCAGCGCCCGCCCCGGGGACGGGAGCGGCACCGGGGCTCGGAGGCAGCCCCGGGCCTGTGCGGTGTCGGGAGCGCTGCCCGCGGCCTCCCGGCGAGCAGCGCATCGATCCTGCGGTCCTTATGTAAGGAACTTTGCCTTCGTGCTCCGGCCCCGCGCCTCCAGGCCCGCAGTCATTATTATGCAAGTGCCGGTACTGGTGCGGGGTGCGGAGCTGTGCGGCAGCCGCTGCCTTCCTGAGAGTTGGAGAGGAATAAAACGAGAGGTTGTGTCTGTTGAGACCACCAAGCGTCAAATCCTAGGCTCTAAGTTAATTCTGGTTACGAAGGAAAGTTGGTACCCTGTGACACATGGCAGCTCTTCAACCCAGGGAAGGGCTAAGCTGGTTGGAGGCAGAGGGAAATGAGCCGGTGTAACCTGCTCTCTATTGCACACCCAGGAATTTTAAGTGTCCGTAACAAACTGTATTAACGGATATTTTTGGATAACTTCAGTTTATCAATCTGCTCACTGTTGCAACGATCGCCAGTTCTGTTAGCTGATGACAATTCCTTTTCCCACCTTCAGCTGGAGGATACTCAGCTGCTTCCCTCACGCCTTTTCCTTGTGTGTCCCCTTTCAGTCCCTCTGCTATTATATAAAACTGTCTCTGCTCTCCCTTTGCTCAGTTGTTTTATATGGATATGTGTTCACCACTTTGTTATGTTTAAGTCTGAGTTAATTAAAAATGTAAAACATAGCTTTTCTGCAGATTAACCCATGCTTGTGCAACCTCAACAGCTTCCCTTTTTCTGCAGATCCCAGCTCAACTGGGTGATGGCTGGTCTGCACAGACTCCTCTTGGAAGTCTCTGCCTAACTGCGGCAGTGCCATGCCAGAGGGAGGGATTCTGGGGAAGGGGCTGGCTGTTGGTTTCGTGCCATTGTTTACTTTCTTGCATTTTGGTCTTTTGTAGGTGGCCTCAAAGAGTGACGGAACAGTCACAACACACTCTGCTCAGTGCCAATTACCTTTCTGCTTGTGTGTAATTTGGGCAAATTGATGTTATTGCACCCCGCAGTTAAGCAGATGAAATATTCTTTTAGCATGTGGTATTGTTCATTTCATGGGAGGAGATTTGCATTTTTTTCCCAGAGACTGTCCCATTGTTCCATCTTGTTCTCAAAGATGTCCTGGGCCGGCTTGTTTCTGCTTTTCGGGTGCTCAGGGTGCACAGGGGCTGCTGGGGCAGGACTGGCTCTGAGCTGTTCCAAAGCTTCACTGCAGACGTCTCCAGTGTTTCTTCTGATTGTTGTTTGTAACTGGAGTACTCATGTGCCGTGATCATTCTTGGCCCGGCTTCTGCAGCCTCATGGTTTCCATATGTGAGGCCGTTAATGCTGGAGTACGTGTGAGGGTGTTTTACTGCACCACTGCAATCATGTTTTGGGCAGCTGTAACATAGTTTGCTGATGGGCCAGTAATAATTTCCTTGATGCTGTTCTGTGCCTAATTACACCTCCAGGAATGTCCATTTCCTGATGTAGGGTACTTGGTCTGTGTTTTCACCTGAATAAAGGCTAATTTGGATGTGGGCAGGGTGTAACTGCGCCTGTAGCTGGGGTGAGGTGGGCAGAGTCAGACCCAACGGCCGCGTGTGCTGCCAGCCTGCTGCCTTTGAGGAGCTGGCAGCTCCATCCCTGGACACATCAGGTCTGTCACAGGACCAGGGTGGTTTTGGGGTAACCTTGGTGAGATGCAGGGTCTCCAGTGCTCACAGCTGTGTCCTGACAGCCATCCCATGTCCCTGACAGAGACCCAGAGGGTCTCTGACCTTCCCACCTTGCTAAACTGTGAGAGGAGGATAGTGGTCTGACTCTGGAGGGGTCGATGCAGAGCTGTGCTGTAGCTTGTGCTTCTTCACTACACAGGAGCAGTGGGAGCAAATGTGAGTGGGCAGACAGGTTTGGTGAGAAGGCAGCAGTTGGTCATGGTGCTCATAGGGACCCAAGGGGGGCCAGCAGCCCAGGACCTGCTGCGGAGGGAGTGGGGCTTTTCTGCGCTCAGAGGTGCGTGTGAACCTCACATGGGGGAGGGTGTGTCACCATCTAAACCTTCTCTGTGACGGTGACCATGATCACCCACCTCCACTTATGCTTCCCTTTGGTTGGGCCTGGTCTCCCCTGGCTCAACCAAAGGATTGGATATAGGCTGCCTCATTATCTCAGATACCCTGTTTATTTCCTTCAGGGATTGAGGCGTTGTTCTATTCATATCTAACCCCTTGGTGAAGATGGGTGCCCAAACCTCCAGAAAGAGACTAAAATGGAAGACAAATAGCGAGAAAAGAAAAGGGGAAGTGGTGGCAAGGGGGACTAACGACCAGAGTGTTGGCACAGAAATGATGACATATGAAGATGATAAAAGGTGAAAAATTGAAGAAGTGATGTCTTGTTATGGAGTACGGGACTGGAATTTGAACAGAACACAGTGCTGGTCCCCATGGCATGGTCAGGAATATGGCAGGGAGAAAGGTAGAAAAGAGCTCCAAGGCATACATTAACATGGGTGGAAGGGAAGTAGCTCCAGAAGAGCTGCACTGGAAGTGCATTTGAAGATGGATGTTGGAGGGGATTGGGAGTGGACAGGGTGCTGCTGGTGCGAGGTGTCAGCTGGGGTTAGGTAATGACCTTCCAGCAGTGCCTGAAGTGTGTTTGTAAAGCCTCAGTGCTGGAGGAGCTGATGGACACCTGGAATGAATGGTAGGGGAAAACAGTTCCTTAGATGGATTTTGGGAATGTTTTGCTGAAGCCTCTAGCTCTGGCTGTTGGGAAGTAGAGCAAGGGCTGGGATGGTTCGGGGGTGGCCTCTCAGTAGCTGCAGTGTGGGAACTGAGCCCTGCCTGACCTGCTGTGCTCCGAGTGCTGCAGCCCCGGACGGCAATCGAGAAGCTCACGTGCTGTGTGGGGAGCGCGATTGGCGGGAGGAGGGTTGGACTGGGGAATAATCTTTGTGCACAGGGTGATTTATCAACCATAATGGCTCTGTATCTTCTTTCTCTCTCTGGAGAATTGTGTCTGCTCCTCTCACGGTAGGAAGGAGTTGTCCTGAAAATGCTTGGAAAAGATAGTGGGGGTGTGTGGGGTATGGGTCTGTGTGAGTGCCCTGCTGCACACGCTGTTCCTGGGTGTCACAGGGGAGGCTGGGGGCTGATGGCTGGGACCTAGTGACATGAGGCTGGCAGTTCTGCAGGGTGCCTGGGGCTCTGGCTCGGTGCCAGTCTGCTTTTGGGAGTGGGAATACCTGATGGCTTCTGTCTGCAGCTGCTGCAGGCGCTGTCCTTGCAGCTCTGCGCAGCGTTTGCCGTCTGCCTGTGCACGGAGACCTCTCGCTCTCACCTCTGCTGCACACACGCAGCGCTGACACCTCCTTCCCACACTGTGGGCTTTCCTGTCAGTTATCTGTGGGTCTGCCCTTCCCTTCTGCTGCTGCTTTCAGCTGTTGGGAGAGGGAGAGCTGGCCCCAGCACTGGCAGGAGATGCTTGCTGGACTGTACCAGAAAGAAAATATTTAAGGGTACTTTTAGGAGGCAGGTTTTCTTATTTGCCTTAGCCTTGCAGACAGGAGTGATTGCATTAAAAATAAACACCAATGGAGATATGGCTGCAGATTTACAACCGCCACATGACAGCTGCCTGCGGAATACAGAAGACAGCGGATCCTTGGACGCACAATTTAAAGCGAGTGTTTTCAGACATACAGTTTTAATTGGTCTATCGGGCCAGAAAGCTAAATAAATGTCTCTTTCTCATTACTGTCACGTGCCTGATTTGTGGCTTTAATGCAGCAAAATGAACCAGTTTTAATGATGCAGATGCAACTGCCTGTGGTCCAGCATTGGAAACCTTGCAGAAAATTGGGCATCGTGTTGATTGGCTGTTGGATTGCTTCCTGCAGCTTTACCTTAACCCTGGCAAAATGCAGGTCTCTGTGTGATCCCTCTGGCTGCTGTTGGCAGGGAGATGGCTGCAAGGCCGTAGCATCTTGTGTTGTGTGCCTGGCAGGTGACATGATCCCTGGTGATCCTGGAGATGGGACTCTCCAAATGGTATGTTTGGCTGAATAGTGGGAAAGGGATGATTTCTTGCACTACTGAGACTCTTAGTTGCTGTGTAAATTGATAACAGAACTAGAATTTTATATGCTAAATCCATTAAAGACACTAAAAAGGCTTGCAAACCTGGGGCCAAAAAAACCCCAATGTGTTCTTTCCCGTTTTCACAGAGCTTAGGTTATCAGTGCTCATTAGCTTTGACTTCTACTGCAGTAGCTGCATCCCTTCTTTTGTGTCTACTCTCTTTTCCTACCTATTACTCTCTTTCCGCTTTGCTCAGAAAATGTTGGGAAAATTCCCATACCCAATCATTTTCTGGGATGGTGGTTTGCTCAGAGGAGTAGTTTTAGTTCACGACTGGGGGAGTCATCAAGGCTTGATCTTGACAGCCCATTCAGTAAGATGGTTCTGTGCAAAAGAGAAGGTTGCAGCCCTTCGTGCAGGGGGGCTGTTGGGAAACTACTAAATATTGATCACAGAAACAGATAGAAAATATCCATTGGCTTAATTGTCTTGCTTAACAAAATGTGGGGAAGTGTGATCCAAGGGCACCTGGTGTGCCTGGCATAATGGTTGGCTTTGGTGCAGCTGTCTGTGGCACGCAGCAGATTCT